GAAATTAAGAAAAGCTCTTAAAATAAGATTTTCTTCCGTACAAATTGGATTTTTAAACTCATTATTGAATGCTTTTATTTTTAATTCTTTTGGTTCTGGAAGAAAGGAGTTACAATCTATTGCACGTGTTGAAGACTTACTGGTAGCTACTGAGCAAGATACTACTACAAAAATAAAATTTAGCCTTGTTAAATTTATAATGTATCAATATAATGAAATCCGAAATAATCCGAGCGTTCAGTCTCTTTTTGTGTATTGTGCTAAGTTAAGAATTTTCAAACACCAAGTTTTTTTTTTTACACTTGTGACACTTATTTTACAAATAAGAAAGTAGAAGATAAACTGTTTCGCACTGCGATAAAAGATTTAGAAATTCTCGAGACAATAGGTTTTTTTAAAACCATTTTCGCTTACATTATTTTTTAAGCAATTAGCTGAAATCAAGGATTTGATTTATAATTGTCTTCTTTAAAAGAAAATATCACGCTCATATTTTGTGCAATCTGTTACTAGTTCCTGAAAATGCCGTATGTAGAGAATGCTGACTTTCAATCATTTTTAATCTTTGGACTCCAAAATTAGACTTACTTCTAATAATTAGCTCAAAGTTATGAACTCGACTTATTTTGTTTGCAACAATAATAGTACGTTCAAATATCAAAACTACGAATAGTGGTTGATCCACATATAGGATGCTTGTTGTTAATGAGATTCATGTATAAGAGAGTAGATGAAAAAAATAATGATTAAAAAATAAAGAGAAGAAGAGTCGAAAAGTAAACAAGCTACTTTAATTGATTTAAAGCATTATAAAAGGAGTCAAATGTTTCATATTCTACAATTCATAATGACACACAATTTAAATACCAGCATTATTTAAAATATTCACGATTTTGTATCAGATTTTTAAAAGCATTTGATGCACATTTATCCTCTTAAATTGTTTCAATACTTTGTGACCATAGTGCGTTAACATTCATGTTATTGACAGGTAAGCATTATTGGAAAATTACCCGCTGCTTAAAGCGTTCATTGACCTTTTGCAGAGGAGGTTGTGCTTAGTGTAATTTATCATGTTTTCCTCAAATGCTTCAAACTTGTCCTAGAACTGAACATAAAATTTAAATCTTTTATATACATGCTCAGTAAATGCTCTTAAATTGGGAAAACACAAATGTTTCTTCTTCATTCCCGCAATTTTATTCACTTGGCCTACTGTAGTTTCGTAATACCTGAAAAGTTTTTTTAATATACTTAGAATATCCTTATAATTTTGATGGTAACATAAAATTTTGATTTCCGTTACCTTTTTATACTTATGAATCTTTATTTAGTGATTAATCGCTTGTTTCTTCTTTAATTGCTTTTAAATGTCCAAATTTAAAAAAATAATTTCTATTCTATGAGTAATTTTTCAAAACAGATTTTAAGACCATCGAAGACCTTTGTGCACAACTTCTTAAGTAAATTCACAGGAACGTGGGAATATTATATAAAAAATTAATCTAAAAATGAAAATGCTAGTAAACGTTTAGAATTTATTCTAACGTTTATAATAAAATACGCAGTACTAAACTTAGAAATCCTTATTTTTATTGAGAAATGATCAGAAACATAGTAACAGTGCTACTTTAATTAAATAAAAAATAATAATCTGAAAGTTAAAACTATTAAATAAATTAATACTTATAATAAACGAAAAGTATGAAAAATATCCAGTGTCCAATTTTTCAATTAATTTTGTTATGAAGAATAAAAGGTTAGTAACACGTGAACTCGTGATGCATGCAAAGGAAAAATAACATTAAGGAGATATTTGACATTTTTTAAGTTTGGAAAATTTTCATAGTTGAAATTTTATGAGAAAAGAGATAACTTAAGCTCTGAACAAGCTGTCAGCAGTTACTGGAATTCTTATTTTTGATTTTGGAATATATTGTTGGCCTTTAATATTGTTATATCCTGAATGAAAACAATTAGTAGAATCAGAATGATATTTATTTTGCAAATACATTATAATGGAAAGGTAAAATATTTAAATATTCTTCTGGCAACAATAGCAATTGTTATACGTTTTGGCATGGAGTCGAGCAGACTTCAAACGCAATTTACGGGTATTACAGACCAAGCAAGGTCAATTTTCTACTAGAATCAATCTATGAAACTAACTAGCATGTGATTGTGGCACTTTCACTACAGTTGTCGGCCAGAAGTTTTCAGATAAGACAGCTCCAGAATGCACGGACCAAGTAAGAAGTCGAACATTCTGTCTATAGAGAAAACAGAGGATACAGTGCCAATATATGGCATCGGAAAGTTCTATTGAAACTGTTGAAAAGTAAGGTGGCAGAGGCCTAAAAATATAGCATGACCACGAGCTTTACGATTTGAATAATGTGACAATAGTAATCAAATTATCGGATATGTGGACTAGAGGTTACCTGAATGTGCAATCACTGATACTGTATCAGCAAACCAAATTCTGGGCCGGTGGAGCGAGGAAGAATGGAAGCTTCCAATAGTCATTTCCCTCGGTGTATCTACATGCGGGTACTGTAAAAGTAGAATAATTGATGCTGTAAATAAAAGTAGAATTTACTAGAAAAGACGTCATCATGCTACTGACATGTCTTTGGGCATTGTTGCATTCATCATTGTAGGCGATGATTCCTGTGCTGTAGCGTCAAAGGAAAATGAAACAATCTTGGTCTTCCTGACGTTCTGTAACGTTGCAAACATTGTCTTACTAATAAAATACTTTGTGACATTTATGTTACACAACAAAATGTTATATAATTTACAACTTTATTATATACTTCGTTTTGCTGTGAGGTTCTCTCTTTACAGAATTTATATAGATCTGAGTAGCAAGCAGTTTGACCATAAAGTTAGAAGAATTTCGCATGGCTGTGTGTATGCCTAATAAACGACGCTGCTTTGACGTATAATGTTTCACTCTCTCTTGGAGATACCCACTCTGGTTGAACGTTATCGCCCAGGATTGAGTTAGATTGTCAAGCTAAATGTTTGAATCTCTGTCGCGGGATAGACTACGTTTTTAGCCCTGATAGAAATAGATTAAAATGCTTAAATTTAGAGCAGTTTTAAAAAAGCTTGTGATTAAACCAGGTCCAAGTGAATGGTAACTTCTGTTGCATATTTTAATTTAGCTCTCGCCGCAGGTGAGATAAAATAAATTTAAAGTGAACGTAATTTTATGTCTTTACATCGCATAAGGGATTATATACCTTGTTGGTTGGTTGGTGTCATGTCCTTTGAGAAGTCAAATGGATCCATGCGCTGATATACCTATTATTTTAAACAAAAACTTACCTCTGAAAACTCGGCATGGGTATGCGGAAGATCAGATTGTTTCGGAAGTTCGCTGCTCAATGAAAACAATACCATACTGAAGAGGAATGAGTATTTGTATGCCCTGATATTGCTGAAAGGTGTTTCTAAAATGTACAATTGATCTGTGCAGGAAATGCACAGAATTAATACTTTTAATGAAAATTTAAACGGAGTCGTTTACCAAAGCCTTGGATTTCGGATTAAATTTCATAATACAAATGAGTTCATAACAGAGATGTCATGAACTGTGGTAAAACTCCATACTGTGGTAAATAGTATGGAGTTTTGAAGTCATCTCTCTACAGCTAAAGACATAAAGTTTTAAATTTCTCAGCTATGTCGAAAATAATATAAAATCTGATCTTTTCGAGTAGCTACGCGGCAAATTTCATTATTAGTAACAACTGAGATTCGGACAGTGTACTATTTGCAACGAATAACGGATTATAAACTCTAGAAAAAGCTAATATTGTTTTCACGGTAGAACTTCTAAATCTTCTTTCCCTTTTAAGGAAGTATATAGTATTTATACTGACTACAGAAGTACTTCTAATAAAACCGCAATCCTTCTATATATATTCTTTTGCTTGAAAAAAAAAATAATATATAAAATTATGTTTTGGGCTTTACAGCGGTAACTTGTAAAATTGACTTTTAAGTTGCCATAATAAAAGTATTACGTTAATGTTACTAAATAATCTAACCAGAGATAGTAATTTCAATTTTAATGAATACTTATGGAGAGAAGTACAGCGCTGACTACTTAGCGTACACACAACGAAAGTATAAAAAGTCATACTCTTTTGCGTGCTTCCTTAATCCACTTAGTCCACAAACCATTTACGAAGGCTTCTAAATGTAAACATAGGAATAAAAAATGAGATTTTTACTAAGAATAAAGTGCTAAATGGATTATTATTAGTCGTTATAGCTCTGTCGTTGAAATTTCCAGAAATTCTTCAAGCTTACGTTATTGTCAATGAAATATTTTTACATTTCTTTCAAATTTGAGCTGCTCTGCATTGTTTAGAGTACTTAAGATATTAGTGTTACGGATTTGATATTTAAATAGCTAATGTTAGTTGCATTATAAATTAAATTGTTTTATTTCCCGTGCAGTGCAGCGCGTGACGAATATTAAAGGAAAGCTAAGCCGGGAAATTAAAAATACAAGAGCACGTGAATTTAACATTAAATAAATAAATATCTCTTTTTAATTTCGAGAAATTTCCAGAAAGTTCTCGCGCGCGATTTAAAATCTTATAAAAAGGAGTAAAACCTCTCAGTTCGTTGTGATTTTAGTTAGTTTGTTGTTTTAAGAGTTTGTTTAGAAAACTGCTCTTGTTGACTGTAGCGAATTCGCGGATTAGCTTTCTCTAGCTGTTTTGAATTAAGTTCTCTTGAATGTTTGAGTAGTTAAAAGATAACTACTGTGATATATTGTAATACTGAACGAATATCTGAGAAAATTTAGGTATTTTTGTTGTGATAATAATAAATTTTGTTCCTTTTTCATCGGACTTGTGTATTCATTTCAAACGAACGCTTACGCACGCAACATTATTTAATGATAGAATAAAGTGCTATTTAGGAACAAGTAACTTTAAGCATTCTACAGAAATTTTATTCAATGTAATGAAATACATATCTTATGATAAAAATGGAGGTCTAATATGCAATTAAGAGAATGGTATATAAATTTTTATACTGCTTACACATAAGTAGATAAATAATAAAGGTGCTATAGCTGTTTCAGATATGATGGCATTCCTAAGGAGGCCTTATAAGTTAAACTATGATGGATTTTCTAAAGGAAAATGTTTCTGAATTCATATTAGCAACCAAACTGCAATTTTTATATATAAATAATTCGTTCTAGATGCGACTTATTTAGATTTTGTCTGCAATTGAGTAATGAAAATAAGAAATAAATTGAGAACATTATGTAAGCAATCGCAAAAAATTCTATCACAGTTAGCTCTACTGTTGCTTAGATAAAGTGAACAACACGTTTTCCCTTTAAATTATATGCTTTTGAACATAACAAGACCCTTAATAGCAGTGATTAGCCTTTTACACATTGTAGGTTCATCATCATATTGTTATTACTTAATCAATCGCTATTTACATTACTTAATTAATCGCTATTTGACATAATAACCACTGTGAACAGTATCGTTCCAGTTAAACATTACTAAAATGTTACAAAAATTTTTACTCTATTTCTTTTGATCATCATTTGAAAACTGTAGCTAATTTTTACTTTATTTTAATTTATTATTTGAATATTAATGCATGTTTTAAAAAATGACTCATTGACACCCTTGTAACATATCTATATCTCTTTTATTAGAATAGTGAAACACCATTTGACAAATTATGTACTTCAGAGAGAAATTTATCAAAAGAGTTTTATAATAAAGATTTTTCAAAATTGATTGGCTAGTTTTACAAGGTTGCCAGTTTACAAGTTATATATCACTGCCATTAGACAGGCTATAAAATACAAAATTCATAGCAACAGCCATTATAAAATATTACTGGAAACAATATTTACACTGAAGTTTCAGCATTATGTTACTTTATGTTCTGATTGCAAATAATACAACTGAATATCATTATTAGGGACAGTCTAATATTTAGACTATTTTTAGTATTTAATTTCATAAATCTATATTTATAAAGCTAAAGAGTAAAGGGTAAATAATTTTGATGTGAACTGTTAAAAACAGATTTAAAATTTCATAACGAACAACGGAGTTACATTGTAATTGTACAATCTACCTAAAAGAACACCATATACTACATAGGTACGATCAGAAAATACTACACGAATTTATAATGTTGCAGAAGTAATATAAACAAAAGATTTCATAAGGAAGATATTTGACAACATTTAGTTCTCTAAGTACATCAAAATAGGATTCTCCATACAGCATGAGACATATATTCTGAAAACTTTGAAATCTACCATTAGCAACAACAAACTTTCAACATACAAAAACATTCGACTTTCATACTATAAAATGTGTCAATTTAAGCTATTTTCTTACATTTATATGAAGATATAGAATTTTCACATGAATATGTCATTAACAATATAAAATGGTAACAATCTAATATGTATTAGAAATGTGTCTGATTTGCCTATACAGATAATGAAACTCATGAAATTATTTTATGTATTCCTTCCCTTAAATTTGCGTTTAATTTTAAGAGAAACTGCAGTATTAAATATACGTTATTAAATACTATGTAAATATACGTTAAACCAGTATTAACATATGTTTTAGTTTTTTTTAAAGACAAAAGTAATTACGTTTAGCATATTTTCGAAATTCAACTCATCAAACGTTTGAGAGGGAGAAAAACAAGAAATTTATGAACAGTGTTTACAAAATTATTTCAAAAGGTTCATTCATTATATAGAAGAATTAAATTCGGGCATACATTATTAAAACAATAAATATCTTCCTTCCATTCACTCTTTTATAAAGAACCATCCTCAGGTGTTTGACATTTGTTCCCACTCATTCATAGAGGACGGTTGTATTTATAGAGCTCCTCATGACATAGTTGGGGAAATGACTGAATGAGAGATCATCATCTTTATTTCGTGGTTATAGCACTGTATCTAAAAGACTGAGTGATTTTGTGATGTTTTCGTCCTGTAAAGAAAAGGTTACAATGAGATAAAAATCTCAATAGAAAGTTAAATCTTTATTTAGTAAATTTAAATAAAAATATAAATCATTAAAAGATCCTTTATAATTCATTCAAAAATATGTACACAGTAGTTTCTCACAAGTCAGAAGCTAAGCATTATCTCCGTGAGAAAGAATGCTCTGGTAAAACGCATCTTAAAAAAACTGGCTTATGTTTGCATTCCCCTTGGGGATGAAATGAAGATAATCGCAGGTAGTGTCTTTCATCTTTTAAACTCGAGCATAGAACATCACGTTTTATTGCCTAAAATATTGACCCTAGACGTGTAATTATAAAGTCATTTACATTTTTCTTACATTTTTAACATCCTTTCTTACATTTTTATAAAGACATTTACATTTTTCTTACATTGACCCTATACATTTACATTTTTCCCAGAGTAAAGCAGAGAATTATATAAAAATGCTCCATTACTTAAAGTAGATGGATTTCTTAAATATAAAACTGCATTTTGTATAATCCTTACAGATAAAAAGTTCCAGATTGAAAAACTTTTATTAAGTTATAAAATGTTGCGTACAAAATATTCCATACCTTTTCACTCAAAACATGCGAATATATTACAGAACGAGTTAAATTACTTTTCAGTGTGCTTTAGTAATGCTCTCTAATAGATCTTGCCAGGATTTAAGGAGCATCTACGAAACAAATATTGCTTGATTTGGAAAGTAGTGCTTCCCTGATGGGTATGACGGTACTTGTTTTCAGCTTTGCGGCTGGTCAATAACATTTTTAATTTTCAATTTTTCCTCGAAATTTGGATTATTTTACTTATTAAACCATAACATGCATTTTAATAATTGGATCTTTTGCCTACAACTAGCATGAACCGGCTTCCCCCAAACTTTTTAACTTACTCTGAGGAGTTCTGCAAGTGGAAATAGATGTATAGGAGTATTAGTTTTGGAAATGAAGTCTGTTTTTTCTTGAAACATCCTGAGAAGTAAAAATGAGTTGGTGTCTTTTACAGATGGCCAAATTATTTCTAGGCGCATGACTTATAATAAATATTTCTAGCTTTCCATAAAGAATATTTATGCAACCATCCCATATTAGACGTTAGCAAAAATATATTTAAAGACTTAGTTTTACTTTTTATCATTAAAATGTATTAGCGACTTGGTTACTTTTCAACACTATTGTACCTCTGTAAGTACTTTGAAAACGTTAAGAATAAGACTGATACTCTTCGCAGTTTTACGCTGCACACTTTTTTAACTTCCAGTAACAACATAGTTCATGAAATATCTCATTACTGGCATTTCGTATTCGCTTCTATTCCTACGGAATAGTGATTGCAGTAACTTGATAGATTTTCACAGTTATTATGCGTATAATATAAATATGAGATATTTTTAATTAAATCACGAAAGAAAAACCCAGTAGCGTCTGTGATTCTAAAGGGTGATTTTATATGGATAGTTCGTTTCGGACTTAATTCTTGGCAGGTGATAGGATTGACAGGATAAGGCTTTCATGATACGTTTTCCCGTACACTGGAAATGGGATACAGGATACAGGTTGGGATACAGGAAGCTCTCCAAGAAGACATCTTTCCTTTTTAGGAAAAGCATAGTCTCGGTACGTGGTACCACAATTAATTAACAAAATTTTAAACCGCTTAAAAGAGAATTCAAATCATATCTTTTTTAAAACTTAGAATATAAGTGAGATACAACTTAAAATATTTAGTAAAATTTAAACCTTGAAGAACCTAAAAAATAATATAAATCAGATTTTTAACTTAACAGATGATATGGAGAATTGACCAAAAAAGTGGCAAAGCAGACTGCATTTTAAGTATCAAATACGGTGCGTGTAAAAACAATTAATACACTTTGGAGTTTGTTTGGAAAACTGTGATATTATATTAATACAAATTTAATTAGTGCTATAAAATATTAAACGTTTCAAAGTTTTATTCACTTTAAAAACACTCAATATTAGCTATTATTGTGCTGCAACAACAGTTAAATTTCTGACTTAACGGACATTTGTTATTCGACTGTCGTGACTCTCAATTTCATTAAACAATATCCAGAATAATGGATGTAACGAACATTGTTCTTCGCACAGCCCCACGAAAGGAATCAAGGGAAGTGAGATCTAGTGAGTGAGGCTATCATTTTTCGTACTATTTATTATCTTAAGCTACTAATTTTCCAGGCAAACTCCTTTGTACCTTATAATTCAAGAACCTGTGGGCACTGAGAAAGATAGAAAAGAAGAGAGGCTTCTTGTTAAAGGATGACTCTGTACGGTTTGTTTCCTGTGTATTGATTCTAAAGAAGTCTCAAGCATATCCAAATGATTTTATGTCCACTCGCAGTGTTTTCCGAAGAGAATAAAGGTACGTAGACGTAAAAAATAAAAAACATCAGTATCTTGAGTGAGAAAGCGTTTAGCTTGAGCAAATTCGTACCTTGCTGGAAAAACGAATATTTTCTGAACTGCATATCGATAGATGATGACGATTAACTTTGCAACTGGTATGGAACGGCGCTGATTTTGAAAACTGGCACGCATGGGAAGGATGGTGGTGGCGTAGCAATTCAGTCAGATTAATAATACCTTTATTATTTAAGCTTTTCAATTAATGGTTTACGCATGTATTTAACTGTTTTCTAATACTTAATCTCTAAAAGCATATCAATAATTTTGAGACAGGAAAAGTGAAAAATGCTAATACAAAATAAATAAATTAAAAAATTGTAATTAAATTTTAATTAATTAAAAATAAAAACTGATTGAGAATATTAGTGGTTTTTTTAAAAAAATAATTGGGTTTATCCATTATGTGTGGAAAATATTTAAGATGCATTTTACAGTAAATCATTATTTAAGCTCTAAAAGGATAATTAATGCTTGAAAATGAAGCAAATAAAAGTGAAGTCAAATAAATTTAACATTTCAAGCTTTAGTAACGAAATAAATAAACTTAATATTTGATTTCAAATTCATTGTTTATGATGCATGCATATGCAAAGTTATAAGAATAAGTGCAATTGCGTACGCATATTTTTTCTCAAAATAGTACCTATTTTTATTTCAATAAAATCATGCACTTATTAACTTTTTTACATTAAAATACTGATGTTAATATTTAAAAGAGGTAGAAAAGCAGTTATGAGTTCTAATCGATATTTGAATAATTTATAAACCAATGAGAAAGAGTGATAATCTTTAAAGACTAAGCAGCATGTGCGAGTATTAAAATATTTATTCCAATATTCTTCATCCACAAACATGCAGGAATGCGTCTAGGTGCGACCACGTTAATGTTAATGTTGTTCGAAATGCTATTCCCTCTTTTCTCTCTTAAATGCAATTGGGTGTAGAAGATAAGTACTCTCTGTAGGGGATAATTGCACAGAACTTGAGTAGACAAAAGTGTGAATGCAAACAAATCGATCGGGAGAAATATTTTCTGAAGCAAATGGGATCTTAGATTTGCATCGTCGTTTAAATAGCTGTTGATAATTGAAAATTATATTTCATTTTCAAAGCTTACACCTAATTTAATTTGAAAAATATTATGAATTCAAGGAATTCTTCGACATAAAATTAATTATTCGTAAGTGAATTTAAATTTGCAAATCCGTTGAGAAATATTTAAAACCAAACATAATTCAATTTGATTTGCATTAATCTTAGACACAGAATACTCTTCTTCAAGAAAATATATATAGATATTGGACGGAATATTTTCGCTTCTCGAAGACGACATCTATTGTGGTTTGTCTCGAAAAGCAATGTCAACATTTTAATATGCACTCGTCCTCGAAAATAACCAAGCTAAACTTTCATTTGCATAATGTGTTTAATTCAATTTAGCTCAATTTTACATTTGTATAATGTGTTTAATTCAATATTTACTGACACCTATTTCCGATATGCATTTATCATTGGCAGAAATTATTGCTCATTTTACTTACTCCTCTTATCACGTTGGACGCCTGTAAAATATTTCAACCACAATTTTGAACAAATAAGAAACAAGCATTGATAGTTTATTACTCATATTCTAATATTTTCGGGGTTTTGCTTGAAGTTTGCATTCCGAAACTTACATAATTCCTTCTACATAATAAATTACATAATAAAGTAACTGGATGTACTAGAGTTTGAGGCACAGTCCCGGGATTTAGTGCCGTCTCTCGCTTCAGGATATATCCGAGAAAATGAGCCAGGTTCTACAAATGGTCCCGAAATTTGTTAAAGAAGACATACATTTTTCTAGTGCCGCTCCATTACAGTCATGGGGATGTTTCTATATTATAGGGAACATGAAAAAATTAGCTTGTAAAAGAACAATAGCGTTTCTATTCCTGTTGCATTTCGTAGCTGGAAAAATGGAGAGTAAAATTAAATTATCTACTGTGTCTTAAATTAATCACGTTAACGATATTTTACAATTAAAAAATGGGAGGAAATCGTAACTCCTGCAAGAAAATATTTTTACTTAGGAGAATTATTTGATAAAAATTTACTGATGAAAATGCTGTAATTAGAAAAATGTAAAACAGCTGCAAAAATTACATACTTGTCCGAGAATAAAACTTAAAATGAGTAAAATGTACTCAGATTTTTGTCATAAATAACATGCTTTTTAATTTCTGAAAACATACATTTTAGAAAAGATTTTCAATTTTTTGAAGCATTTTCTCATAAAGAGACCTCTCACCTTTTCGTATTTGTAAACACAATGATTTAGCAATTTTAAATTGAAACAAACTTTATTTAACCAGCTTCTGTTAGTTCCTTTATTAACGAAATTTTTACCTGACAACAATTAATCATTCTTCGAAAATGATCACCAGTGGAAAACTTTAGCTTATATTCAAGCTATTATTGTGTCATTTTTTTAACATTTTACCTGTAATTCATGTACTACTTCTACCAGAAGTCTAGACTATTAAAGGGAGCAAAGAGCATCATGCCACGTTAGTTCATATTAAGTCTTTCCTATATTAAATGTAGTAGTCTCTTCCGACGAGCTTCTGTTCTAATAATAGCACAATATGAAACAAACCTCATCCTATAAATCTGAAGGACAGAGAAGTAATGATGCGAAATCTAAGCTGCTATTTAATGGTTTATATTCCATATGAATTGTTTGCTATAATATGAGCAGAACCTAGAACGATTTTGATATTTTGAAATTAATGTGTGCATTTCAAAATATCAAAATCACTAAAGTTTCTCTTCATACTAGAGTATATTGCAGAAGCAGATATATTGACTAGACATTTACCAGAAAATTACTTTGTTTAGAAACTCTGACATATCACATATCTTTGTTTAATTGCAAGAATGCATATTCTGGAAATGCTTCTTAGTTTTCTTTTGCTAATATTTAATGCTATATTTATTTATGTTAAATTTAAATCAATGATTTTATGCCAAAAGTTTTAACTGAAGAAAAGTAGTTAATTAATATAACAAAAAATCAAGTAAATTTGAAAAAATAATTAAGAATTTCTAATGAAATATATTTTTATGTTTTCGTAAAAACTGCTTAGTTTAAAATGCCTCCTTTTCTAGAAAGCTACAATTTACTGCTCAGTAAGATATTTGAAAACTAACTAGGATTCAAGCACACAATAAAATTTTGTTATAAATTTAAATCCGGCAGAACTTTTTTTCTATAGTAGATAGTTTCTACAATCTTCCTCAAATATTATTTTGAGCTTTCTTGGCGTGTTTTGTTTTTCCTAGCAGCTCGAATAAAACTGAGAACTTTGTGGTGATATTTAACACAATAAATACATCTTATCAAGTTTTATACCGTTACAATGTATGCAGTACTATCTCCATTCAAAGTAAAAAGGATCCATAGAAAAATAGTATGTCATAGACATTGCTCTGATATTATTAAATAATCGCATTTAACTTTCTGAAATGTCTGATTTAAATTATTAATACTGTGCAATTTTTAACGAATTTATAAAGATAGAAATTTATGAAACAGGCCACTTGCTAAAGATGTACTGTTATTTCAAAATGTATCCTTTCTGCTTCAAAATAGTTTTCAATTATCTAATTTAAAAGAACATTTGTTTCTCAGAAAAATCTATATTAATTGCCTGAAAGCTATCATATTCATAGAGATATGAGCAGAAAATTGTTTCGCAAGCAAAATATATTCTTAAAATAAACGCTTCTGAAATTTCCTTTCTGATATTTAATGCCAATCAGAAAAGTGTTCTAAATGCCATCATTATTAGAACGTCACAATGCATAGCAAATGTGTTACCGAAGAGAGATTTGGGATAGCATGCTAATATGCAGTCTGAAGTTAATAAAATACGTTTTAATTGTTTAATTTTTGCACTGAGTAAAATTTATGTGCATTGAATAAGAATGAATTGAATTATTTTGATTGATTGAGAATAACTCCTACTTTAGAAAGTGTTTTCAGAGCTTTTACAGCGTTTAAATTTTCTGCAAAATGTTATTAACCAGAGAAACTATTCGCGCTAATTAAAGCAGAAAGCTCAAGAAAACATATTTCTTTCAAAATGTGTTAAAACAATGGAAAATTTAAAAAAAAAACATAATTTCTTTAAAATGTTTAAAGGGTATAGTAAAAGTAGTAAAAGCAAAATATAAAATTAAACGTAAAAAGCAAAAATTGTAATTATCATAGTGGTAGCTATAGCCCATTTGGTCTAATTATGAAAATTAAAATGCAAAGAAAATCTTTCCATAAGACTATAAAATAATCATAAACGTAAGTTTCTTACGTGAAGACAAATTTCCAGAAATTCGTCAAAGTCAACGATACCATCTTTGTTTACATCCAGCTTCTGAAAAAAAAAATCACACGTTCTTTTATTATGGGAAAATTATTATGTTAATTCTGTGAAAAAGAAAATTTGATTACTGAAAGATAATAGCAAAATTTTTATTTGTCAAAAAACTTGGGTCAGCATTTATTAGTATTTCATCTCGACTATCCTTGTTAAGATTGTCATTTTCTAGATCATTGTTGTTTGTTGGCTCGTACAATCATAACAATCATATATGCGGACATTTCTCATTCTTTCACGTCACTAGCCAGTCGCTAGTTTTAATGTAGTTTTTTGGAATAGATAAAAATCTCGATGTCATTTCCGAAAAGATACAGTGTTATCGCCATAAAATTGCACGTTTCATTGATCATTTACCCAAACATGCATAGAAATGAATGTTCATGTGCTGCTCTATTAACGTCATTTTCCCCCCACTGCCAACAACAAAACACTTGGCTTAGTATACCTAGATACAATATCGGCGGGAACATTTATATAATCTGTAATTATCTTCTGTGCACTGAAAAAGTATTTTCAGTGCACAGAAGTTAGTGGAATCACATTTCTACAGAAGGCATCTTGGTATGCACACACATCGTTTCTAAACTTTTGGATATTACTATACGCACTGTTATAATTTAAAAATCCTCCATTGACCTTCATTGCAAAAACATGAATTTTTAACTTAAATATTACTGTGTTTTAAACTATAGACTACTTCGTAAAACAAATACGCTTGAAACTTCCCTTCAGTTGAGATAATTCTGTCATCTGAAGAAACATCAATATAAAGGATTAGCATCAACTTAATTGTGAAGTCAAATATTGCATTACTTAGGTGTAATGGAAGCAATAAATTAAAAGCAATTTAGAAAGTTTAATTGTCAAGTTCACAAACCCATCAAAGTCAATAGATTTCCAGCGGAGTTTGTTTGCACTAAGTAGAGAAAATATTAGAGGAACCCGTTTTTAAAATTTAAATCAGTTTGACAGCGACGTAAAAAACCAGAATTACATTTTAATGCACTTTAATGTCGAGAAAAATATTTATCACTGTTGTTAGAAAATTACTAAGAAAAAAACTTTGAGTGACTCTGAACAAGTGATCTTGATGATCGTGGACGCAGGAAGGCTCGATCCCACTGCCTCTGAAAATACTTACATTCTAGGATTTTTCTCATGCAATAATGTCTTGGGCGTTTGAAGAGAAACAGGCGGACAAAAACACCAGTCATTTAGGACAGTTCTGATAGGAAAGTGCTACTGGACGAAAGAGGCGAGAGATTGCTGGCATGAATTGTCCGCAACAATATAGCAAACTACATTTTAATCGACTTAGTGCATTACAAGCATATTCGAAATCATAACACAGCGGAATTAGCAAATTAAGGATTTTAAAAGTAGGAGACCTTCAGAAATGTTTATACCATCACTGAAAAATAGGAAATCACGGCAGCTGCGGGCCCAAGAGTACCAAATTTCTACCCGTGACGATTGAAAAAAAAAAAAAAAAAAAAGGTTACTCGGAATCCAAATTGAATACTCGATTTCCATTTTGTAAACAAGTATACTCTTTACCCCTTTATTTAATTATTAGCTATTGTGGTATCTAGCTGTTTCTCTTTAAACGAACCTTAGATGCCGTGAAAATTGTGTTAATATGATGTCCTGTTGGTATATTTAAAAGGTATTTAAAATGATTACACAAATTTATGGTCTTACGAAAGGAACGTAAATTTATTTTATTTATACTCGCAAATGGTGAATTTAAAAGCTTCATTTTTTCAAATCAATTTTTTATTTACCAGTGGTTTAAATTTCAAAAACTGGGCTTTTAGGTTTAAAAATAGTTGAAGAGTAGATGTGATCATAAAATGAAATTGACAACATGATTAGAAAGTGTATTAAGTTTCGTTCTGAAGTATTTATGGTCGAACATGTACTCCACTTTTGCTTAGGTTGTGTTGTTTATTGCGGCAAACCACTTCATATGCTACATGAGTGACTGGGAAGAATTATAGTAGAACCTCTCTTAACCTGCAGCAATTGGACTTCACTGATACCGAATAAGAGATTTTTCCAGATAACTGAATACGTATTTCCAGAACTTACCCTCTTCATGTTTTTGATACCATTTGTGACAACAACGACCAACATGTAAAGTTGGTCGTACTTTTCGATCTGTCAAATAAACAATACTGAAAATCGTATATATAAAATTAAAATACATATACAAGATTTTATATTTCAGAAAGTAAAAACTAAATAACAATTTAAAATAACCAAAAATATATATTAGATGTGAAAGTACAAATTTTTAAGTGCGATGACAGATAAATTCGAATACCTGCCTGCTTGTGAGATTGTTCCCATAATTTTTAAAACTCACTTTGTATATAATGAAGCGACATAGATAAGCTTTGCGGTTTTTATGAAAGTATGCAATCCTTTATCAGCTTCTTTCCATGTAAATGTCTTACTCTGCGTGAGGGCTTCATCTTCATCTTTCCTTTCCTCTTGATTAATCTTTCTCCTTTTCCTAAACATATCCGATTATTTTGTCGTCAATATGAGAGTGTATGGTGGGAACTAAGTTGAACTGCCTAAATTTAAACAAGCTCTGCTCTTCTTCTTCACTGAGAATAAGCTTCTCTGAACATGTAACTGAATCCAAGGTATTAGACTATGGCGCCGGATGTATTTTAAAACCAAGAGAAACTTCTTTATCTAGGAATATGATATTACGCCACAATTTACACGAATAGTGATATTAAGTAATGCTCTTTACATCCTTCCCGGCAAGAATCAAGGTAAATATACATCTTCCAATGGGAATTATTTCTGAATGTCATGAACACTACCTTAAACGGTCACGCTTCCACGCATAAAATGGGATCAGTAACTCATCTTGTTACTTTGGTCTACAAAACCATAACAAATGTTTCCCACATTTAAGTATTCAAATTGTTAGCTTGATGTATATTTTTTATCTCACAGGCCTAAATTATTGATTTAAATTTAGAGCTTTAAAAAGTTACGTTACATTGATATAGCCGACTAACTGGGTGCTCGTTAAGAGGGATTTTACTGCACATTCATGGATGGATTTCTAAAGGAAGTGGGCTTAAGGGAAACTTTAAAATTCTAAGAAAGCATTTATGCAAAATACTTATATAAAATGCGATGTCTTAAAAGTGTTTAGGTCCTTTTCAGTTTATGCAGCCATAAATTCGTGCATAATTTGTTGGTTAACATTATGTATGGCATTAGCTGCATGAAAGCAAAGAGACTGTTTATCCAGTGAGTGACTGAGCGAGATAAATTGCAAATAAAAGCTGCAATTCTCGAAGTAGAAATTTTGTAAAGTAATCAAGTTAAAATCGGAAGATAAAAGCAGTGCTAATAATGTCTTGACTCCGCTACTATCCAAACTTAGTATTAATTATATAATTAGTATATTAGTTAATGACGAAATTTCTAAACGAAAAAGATATGATATAGAAAGATACTTGTGACTAGAGGGATGACAAGTTTTCAGATTAGCATCAATTCTAAAGTGTTTAAATTAAGCACAAAATGGTTGTTGAAAACTTAACTGAAGGCACATTTCATCGATGCAGCAGAGAAAGAAGTTATATAATTTTATGAAAGAACTCAATTTATTAAAACTTAAACTTAAAGGACAAAAATTAAATTTGGCTTACAGGTTATGTGTTTCTTCTCAAAGAAACGAAATTAAATGATTAGAATGTTTGAACAAGATACTGGAATAAGTCCGAGAAAAAGACGAGGACGGGCATTAGCAGACACCGAGAAAGCAAATCATTAAATTTATAGAAGTGCATAATACTTCAAAAGCCAAACTACCCTATCAATTTAAAGTTTTGTTAATTTTTAACAAGAAAAACTCAGTTTATTTATCGAGAAACACGCAATTTGAATTTGTTGTCATTTGATAAGATTAACAGCTTCTTTGAAGCGACCGCTCCAAAGTACCTATAAAAGATACCTAGCTCACTTACAAATGAAACCAATTCTTGGGCTGGCATTTCACGTCTGCATTTACGAACAAAGTACGAAAGAAACCTTCTTTAGGATACTAAGAAAAGCAAACTAAAAGTGCAGCGAGATTCCAGACCCCAAAACTTCGACAACCCAGTCTTCAAAGACACCTATTTTCATATGCCGTGCTATTCGGTAGATTTCCAAATCAAGTAATAGATCAGATATTTAAGAAAGTATCTTTATTTACGGAAGCTTCAAAACTACCAGGGGGACAGGCAGCAGATTTTGCATGGCCTGAAATAAATTCATTCATTGAATCCATTTTCTGTCTCATGGATGCGGAAAATACCTCAGAATAAATCAGTCTATTAGATTGGTCTTGTAGCTTTTATTCTCATGTTATATTATTTGTGCATTATCCCATGGCTCAATGATTGATATGTTTTGTAAGAATGAAATACGAGTCCAGCCTTACAAGGCCATTACTACTTTGTGAAAGTTACAGCCTCTTTCTTCGTCTCTTTAACTATTACAAACACGTTTTTAGTCATTTAAGAATGATAAATAGTTTTTTTTTTTTTTTTTTTCATTCTTCCCTTCAGTTATGCTGATATGTGCTCAAAGCGAAGCAACAGTCCTGTCAACAGCAAACAAAGTAGCTTCTTTGAGGATTAAGGTGGGAATTTCAAAATACAACCGTCTTATTCCCTCATATCGATGAAACCATGATTTCAGTCATGTTTGGACACTCTGCATGAACAATTCAATCGGGAACCCGCAGAGAACGTATAGGGAATAAATTGTATACAATAATCTGAGGTGAAATTTTTTTTTGTTAAAGACTTCAGAAGGGCTACTGAGAAAAAAATGTGCTGCATATTGCTTGTGTTTTGATACATATTACATAAAATTTGTTTCTTTATTTAAGAAATCATAAATGCTTTTTGCAAATTTTACAGCCTCTTTATACTCTGGAAGTTTACCGCTGTGCCTAAGTTTATGAAATAGAC